TTTACAGCACAGGTCATAACTCGAGTTTGCTATTTAAGGTGAGGTATATCCCAAAACATGAAGCATTTTTTCTAGTTTCATTGTCATTAACTGTTCAGTTCAGTTCTTTCAGCGCAAAGTGTTTTTCACTCTTTGTTCCTTTTCTTTTAATTTATGATTTTGGCTTAGCAAAAGATTATAGAATAGATCATTTAAGCAATTTGTTGAGCCCTCTCGAGTCCTTCTTGTTAGCCAGCATGTTAAATTATTTTATAAAAAAATTGAGATAGTCACCGGCGTGTGCTCTCATTGGTCAATTGGTGAGTTTAGACGAGAGAGAGAGAGAGAGTGTGTGTGTGTGTGTGTGTGTGTGTGTGTGTGCGCGCGCGCGCGTGTGGACACAGTTGTGACGTCACGCTTTTTGTGTTTACCGGCACAATTTAAAAACACAGTTCAAAGTCAAGGGTTTCGCGAGCTCCCACGACGAGATTGAGTTTGGGATTGGGAGAATGTTTGAAATTCATGCAAGCCTTTGAATGCGTCCCGGGTTTGTGCAACTTTCCTGAATTCTTCCAAACCACCCTCGTATGTAAATAAGGGTATGCAAGCGCAGAAAAAGTTCTCTACAGCTTAAATATTCGTCAATTACAAGACAAAAAGGCCACGAGAGTGAAGTTAATCTAGTAATAGCACTGTACAATTTTAAAAAATGTAAATGTAATTTTGATTAGCGGCAGTAACAGATCAACCATGCAGCGACAGTGATGAATAAATTTTTGCACAGCTTCGTCAACCAAAAACTAAACGTTTCTGTGCACCACTTTACATTTTTACTTACACTTCGATTTGGAAGAAGCTAAGTAGACTGGACAGAGGGGATTGTAAAATTTATCTTAGTTTTAACAGAACAGAACAGAACAAAACAGTATAACACATGGTTAAAGGATCATTATTTTCGCTGACGCACGATTAAGTGAGCGTGTTTTAAGTTGTTCCTTACTAATTTTCGTGACGAAAGAAACTCAATCCCTGTCAAAAGGGCAAATAAAGTTAAATTTTGATGAGCACGAAGACTGTTGCGGCAAATTGTATGTGTCAAAATAATTACGTTACACAAATTAGATTTTTAGTCAGTTATATATCATTGATTTTGCAGATAATTTTTATCATTCTTTGTGAAATATCCGATGTAACGCAAACCTGAAGTATACTACCATCGAATAGCCGCGCAATTAAGATGAAAAGAAAATCGCCTGCTCACTGCAATGCTGTGGTGCCAGACGAAGCTACCTGTTGTGATGCATGGGACATGCCTTACAAACACAATGTAAAGAAAAAGCTTGTAAATAATTAAACTGATCGTGCTCTTCGGTATTGCTGAATTCGTTGATAAAGCTACGACGCTTTCAAATATGTGAATTTGAAATTTACACTGATAATGGTTGGTAAAATATATCCTACCTGAGTACACATCGAAGTATATTCTGGCAACCAGCTAATACAGATACGGAATTGCGACATCGAGCAAAGTACTACAAGAGCTAGCTGTATGGTATCAGTAGCAATATTCCTTGCTTTTATTGGTCTCGAGCGACACAATCTTTTCCTTTATCAAGGCCGAGTAATAGCATAACACGATAGGATCGGAGAAAATCGCTTGTAACAGTCACACGGTTGTGTCATGATCGTGTACAAGCAAACGCGACAATAACATGGCTGGGGTTCTAACTGAGTTATATCGTATCAATTCCAAAATAAAATGCAAACAAAAAAAATTATTTGGAAACAAAAAACTTTCGACATCTGGATCAAAACAGTGAGATCTTGAATCACAGCAAAAGGTCCTGAATTTTTTTCAGGCCTTATTTCCAATACTACGTAAGTAGGGTTCATTACTGGGAGGATCACTTTCATGCATTTCATGAAACCGCAGTACATGATTTCCATATATTCAAATTCATATATATGATTTCCACATATTCAAATTCATCGAAAAGGTCCTTTCATAGACATTTCGTAAAGAAATAAGGCACGGAAAATACCGTGACCAAACGACAAACGAAAAAAATAACTAACCACGGAAAACGAAGATTTCATGTATTATGTTGAGCGACACCGTCTTAAACACGAAAGCTGTGCCACCTGATGAAGCATAGTTTGTAACACATAAGAATTGATCTAGTGAAGATCATCACCCATAAAAGTTGCCTTGAGTCTACAGATAATTCGCGAAGAAAAATTTAGGGAGCTACGCGTTATGGCTGCTTTCATGGTCCAAGGGGTGAAAGATACTCGACTAACTATGGACTAACGCAATCGATGACGAAGTTTTGTCTAAGTACATAGGTACATACATAAAAGGGGGGTGAACCACTTCTAAACTGGTCCTTCTTTCTTCACTCCCAATTGCACTTTTCCTCGTCCAAAATATCCAGGGAAAGGGGCCTTCCTAAACTGTTTCAGTGTTGTATAACTGCCGGCATTACTTCGGATCTCATTTCCTCGCCTATGCATGTGGAGTTGAGAGCGGCAATATCTCTCGAATAAGTTGCCATTCTACAATTCCTCAGTTACTTCATAGTTAATCGATTAACGGCTATGGTTACTTTTGGCGATATACTATATTCCTATGATTGTTTCGAAGTATGTGAAAGATAACAGGCGAAAAGTCGTGTCATACTTACACCTTCAAGTTGTTTTGAGCGTTTTGTTTTCGGTTCCAATCTTATTTACCTCCAGTTCATGCAAAAAGAGAGCTAAATACCCCCATCGAATAAAATAAAGGAAAAAATTTAAGAAACCACATGGAAGCTCCGGTGTTTGATTGGTGCTCCGGCGTTTATTTATGGTCGAGCCGACAAACAATCGCACACTATTGAATGGCACTTCTGTCATACCGCTGATATTAAATCTGTTTGGAGATTTTCAAAGGAAGCGCACCGA